TGTAACGCTGAACTCAGTGTCTTTATTATTATTATTATTATTATTATGTTGGGTTTTGTGAGTTATACTCGGTAAACACCAGTGGCTGTGTACTATGCCGGACCAGAGTCAAGGCATAGCAACCGAAACAAAACTAAAATTAAATAAGTGTGTCAGTGTGTGTGTCTGTATTCAGGAATTTCCTAACAATGTGGCATGTATTCAATATAGTGGCCTTCTGTAGTGTGATGTATGTATTTCTACTCAATTGTAATGTTCCCAGGCTTTTGTGTAGTGTGTGTGGTATCACACCTGTACAGGAGAGAACAACAGGTACAATAAGCACCCTATCCATCCTCCACAGATGCCTTATTTCCTGGGCGAGTTCTGTGTACTTGCTAATTTTTTCAGTGCATGTGTTTTGTACATTGTGAGTGTTTGGAATGGCTATGTCTATAATGTATGTGATTTTATTGTGTTTGTCAATGAGTGTGATGTCTGGTCTGTTGTGGTAAATTGTTTTATCTGTGATTATGGCTCTGTCGTAATACATTTTGTGCGTGTTATTTTCCAATACTGTCTGTGGAATATACTTGTAGTATGGTTCGTGGATGTCTGCCAATTTGTGTTTCTTTGCAAGCTCTTGGTGTATTATATTTGCTACTTGATTGTGTCTATGTAAGTAATCTGTCTGTGCCAAGAGCTTGCACCCAGAAGTGATGTGTTGTATAGTTTCTGGCATGATGTGACATTTTCTGCATGTGTCATTTGTGAGTGTTGTATCTTTGAGAATGTTTTTTCTGTAGTTTTTAGTATTTATGACCTGATCTTGTATGGCAATCATGAATCTTTCCGTCTCCCCAAAGAGGCATCCCCAATCTAACCAGCTGTTTGATGCAGTTTTGTCAACAAAATCCTGGGCCAGGTCATAAGGATGCCTGCCATGGAGTGCCTTTCGAGCNTAAATAAATAAAGAACCGGGAATGGTAATTTATGGTTTAGCCTAGTGACAAGTAGATTTGGAGACAAGTAAATTCGACTTACGTCGCCTCTCATGGAACCAATTACCGACGTAAGGCAAGGTATACCTGTATATCAATGAAGTTTACACTTAAAAACTGAAATTTTGTACAGAGGATTTCCAAAACCACATCAGAACTGGAAATCACGCTGTATGGGGAATATCCCCAATTTTCAAACCGTGTTGTACTAAAGATACATGTATTATATGAAAAGAAACTAAACATGCATACTACAATAACTTATATAGTACTCTGTTACTCTAACATTGTTTGTTTGTTTTCCTTAACCAATGACTGCCATGTAGCAGATATTGTTTCACAATTTTTACTATTAATTTAATGCAATTCCCACTAATTGCAGCATTGAAAATTTTCCACACATTCAAGGCTCTTAGTTTTTGAATGTCAAAGATTTTCCTTATCAGTTTTGCCTTATTCCAGATAATTGACACACCAGATATTTTTTAAAAACATTTAAATTTAGAATCTCTAACATTCTGTAACAATCAATGGTTGATGCAGGCCCCCGAAAAAGATCAAAAATATCATGTTTTTATTTAATTCAAATATGTATTCTTCACTGAACGACTGTGTGTATGACAGAGGTAGCAAAGATTTTTGAGTCAGCATGCAATATAGTAAGCATACTTAGCTTTAAAGATGTTTATGTATGCCAAAGTTATGGAAACTTCAAATAATGATATTTAAATAAATTAAACAAATATGCTTTAATGAGAATAAATGTAAAAAAGCTAATTGAAAAAAGAATGATCAGACAATAAACTGAAAAAATGATTGGAAACTATAAATAATAAATCAAAATCATACGATATGTTACATGCCACTTTGGGCATGCATGCCATAAGTTTGCCACCCCCAGTATATGGTGAGTAGTTTTAATTTCATTCATGCATTCTTGTTGGCATATTACTCAACTGCTAACAATCCATTCTAAGATCTTGCATTGAAGCTTAGCATGCATTTCAAAACTTTCTGACAATACAGCAGCACAATATGATAATGTGATTCATTTCTTTTTTGAACCTGACAGAACTTCATGTTTATAACTCAGGAAACCATCTGCGGTGGAACAGTAAAACAGTCCTGTTTCATCTTCATTGTAGATTTGATCAGAATTAAATTTCTGCAGAAATTCAGGTAACTTAGTTGATTTCCACTCTTCAGTGCTCATAGTATCAGCACCATTTTTCATTGTGTGTTCTTTTAAATTTTATTTCATGTTTGGTTTTCCATTTCAATAATCATCCATCTGTAACTTTAAAATTCATGTGACCCATCTTTGTAGTTAACTCTTTTGATTTGGTTTTTAACATGTCCATTTAATACATATTTCTCTTTGCTGTATGTGCTGTTCTGATAAAAAGGCACGATGTCCCTCCCATATAAGCAAATTAAATTTGCTTATATTAAATCATTTGTTTCAGTCTTTCAATATATGTCCCAAATAAATGATGGTCTCAATCAGTGCTGTAACTAGCCGTTCCTGTGCCCCATGCAAAAATTTGAATTTAGGCCCTTAATTAGGTTTGGGAAAATAATAAAACAAATACATGCATTTTTGGCCCTCTTCCAAGTGGATCCTGTGCAGGTGCATCTCTTGCACCTGCCTAGTTACGGCACTGGTCCCAATTAACCAAATGCAAAGGACATCGTAAAATAAACTCAATATAAAGAAATAAACTACAATAAAATTAAGAATATAAGAATAAAAAAAAGTTCATTTTCCACATTCAAAAAAATTTCAATATTTAAAATAAAGCTTCAGTTTTACATGTTGATAACAGCGATATCCTTTTGGTAAGAGGTTTATATATGGTTTCTGGTATGACTTTTTGGCAGGGTAGATCTTGAAAATATTTAGAGGATTTTAATCTTATTTTTCATCTCAGAATTTATCCCCACAGTAATTCATTACACTCAATTTATTTGTAATTAGTTATCATGCATATATACCATAATATATATGCATTTAGCAATGATATTTAGGTAAATCCACTTCATCCACTAATATTTAAAATTTTAATTAACTGGTAATTTTATTAACACCAAGTCATGAAAATGCCTTTGTTAAGGAAATTAAAACTGATACTGAGGGAATATTGTAATCTTCATACAAAATTATCTTTATTTTTATTCTTAATGTTTATTATTAATTCTTTTAATCTTACACACACATAGTACTTCCATGATNTTGGGGATGAAGGTAGTCCGGATAAGGAAAAATCCGGATAATCGAAACAAACTTTAATTTGTTTTTTAATGATAATACAACACGTTTTCTTTTCGATGACATATCGGTAATATTAAAAATAAATACTGTATTTAAATCGTGATCAAATTTTCAAGAAACAAACGTTTGTATTGAATTTGGACTACTACTGACCAGCGCTGACTACCCTATTGTTTAAAAGGCCCTCTGGTGGCGCAAGAAGACGGTTTTTATAAAATAAGCAGTTGAAACTGCATTTTTATGAATAAAAATTTGACAAACTATTTATCGTTTTATGACGAGTAAAATTTTTTCGTCGCGTTCGCGGCTTTTAAGTAATGCATAAACCTTCAAAGCGCGAGGCCCTTCAGACCGCGAGGCATAGGCGATGGCCCACGTCGTCCATGCCTTACGCTGCCCTTGGTCATAGAAATGATGTAATTTGAAAATAAAATTTTTTATAAATACGTATGTCAAGTTATATTTTTATTACGACGTAAAATATATTTAATTAAGAGTTTACGGCCACTGTGCTGGGTGAGACGTTGTTGAAACAAAAAAAGTTACGCATTCCCTCACGTACATAAACATTGTCGTAATTCGCCAAGTGCAAATCAGCAAATTCGTAAAATTTTTCTTTATTTTGAACAATCCGGATAATCGAAAATCCGGATAATGGAGGTTCTACTGTATATACTTTCCGCCGTCCAGCGCCACGCTACGGAGAGTTTAGGCAAGTAAGTTGAGTTTACTATCGTCTGTACAGTATGTCAATTAAGTACCGTAAGTCTAATACAGTACTGTAATTTTATACATTTCTTGTGAAAGAAACATTTCTTATTCAACAGCCATAAAAATTATTTCTATTAATGATGTCTCCAAAGTTCAATGAATTTTTCACAGAAAAATAACATCAGAAATCGTGGCCGTCGTTTGGTGCACTGCTCCGCGACGAACACAAGCTTAAGCAATGGTGACTTCGAACAGTGCACACTCGGTAAGTAATACTACAATTTTTTGTTTATAGCATAGTTTATACGGATTATTCCCAAAAAATTATACGTATTTTGGAAATGTTAAGTCAAATTAGTCTAGAATCGATTAATTTTATGGAAGAAAACCTTTCAAACAGCCGTAGTCCGTAAACTTCACGTGTCAGGCTGCGATTAGCTCATGTATTTAAGGATTCCTATGATGCGAAATTCGTATAACGAGAAATGTATCTACGCGTTATAGGGGGTTACTGTATCTTTACTTTCATATATTAACTTTTTTCTTTATATTATTAAGATTTGAACTATACTGCACTTACACGCTTAGCTTTTTTATTATATACAGTAGACCCCCCTATAAAACGGGTTCCTATAATTACAATTCCTATAAGACAGCAAAAAAATTGTGACGGTATCCGTAAAAAATGGTAAAAAAACTACTCCTATAATTACGTAAAACGTCATCGGGCAGCCGAACTACTTTCCACGCCGTCAAGCGCCACACTACGGAGAGATTACTATCGTGTGTACAGTATTATATATAAATTAGGTACTGTACTTATAATTATATATTAATTATATATAAATTAGGTACTGTATATATAATTATATATTAACTTATTGTAACTTTGTTATAATTAAATATATAATTTCTGCCGTCTAGCGTGGCGCCACGCTACGGAGATTTTTACGCTAACTATCGTCNAAAAAGCTTATATATATTAAAACCTGTGAAAATAATAATGTTATAATTAGTTTTATATTAATGCAATTTACCTGTATTGTAGCTGTTGATCCTAATGGTTTTCCTGGAATAGTAACAGTAGCAGGTTTAGTTGAACCAGCAATTGCAGAAGCTGGCATTGTAATTGTTATTGGAGATGTAACAGTACTAGTTGTCATTTGTGTACCTAAAAATAGTCCAAATACTTAACTTAATATTGTTAACATAAAAATTCAATTTATTGTTACTCTTAATATTCTGATGATAATATATATATATATATATATGTATGCATGCATGCGACACAATTTATAAGAAGGTACCTTAAGTCAGAAAAATAATTTCTCTATTGTGAAAAAAAAAGTTTGTATAAACAGGTCAAAATTGATCATTTTTAAATTTCAATGCCAAATCTTTCTAACATTAAAGAATATAAGAGAGGCAGAGTAAGATGTACTCAGAAAATGAAAGTTGAGTTTTCTTGACTTAATGTATCTTTTTAAAAATTGCATCTCACACAAACACAAACAATGCATAATAATGCATATCAGTGGCAAATTACTCTAAAAGAAAAATGGCAATTGCCTGGGCCCTCATCAACAGGGGGCACGAAACCAAGCTTTTTTAAAAAATATTCCCCCCCAAAATTCCCTCATAGGAAAATGTCTGAAGTTAACACTATATATGGAGCCCCATAAAACTATAATGTGCCACTGATACATATAAAATTTTATGTAAATCAGCAATGGGCAAAGATGCAGACTGTAAGTAAACTTCTGGTGGAATGTATGCATTTTTTTTCTTATGGAGTTGCAGACTTTAACTCTGCTCAGTACAAACATACTCTATAACGAACAAAACACTAGGGACTAAAATAATATATGCTAATGATATGTAAACTAATAATGTATACTTTATTCTCATCTTTCCACTGATCAAGTTTAGTTTGAATGTTCTTCATCACAGATATCAGTTTAATTAAAGCCAAACAACTACCAGATTACATCAGGCTACATATTGCTACTAATGATTATTAAATAATCAGTAATTTGACACTAGAGGTGGATGTTAGATAGCATCTCATTAAATTTAATAATTATAACTAAATTAATATTTATTAAATAATTTAGAATATTCTGGAAAAAACAGTAAGCAGCAGTTGTGGGTTTGAGTTACACCTGGGCCAATTCTTTTCTTCCTGAATTTTATAAAATATTTAATAAATATTAATTTAATTATAACTATTAAATTTAATAAGAGATGATGCCTAACTCCCACCTCTAGTGTCAAATTACTTAGTATTTAATAATTATTGGCAGTGGTAATGTAGTCCTATTTAATCCAATAATTGTTTGGCATTAATATGAAGCTGTTTATATATGTATGTCAACTTAATTAAAGTTCCATAAGGGTATGAGGCAGAAAACAGGAAAACAAAATATGTTGCCAAAGCCCAGGAACTGTAAATTAGAACCTTGTGGGCAACAGGATGCTCATGAATGATGCAAATTTTAAGATAAAATACAGTGTGATCATCTTAGATAACTTAAAATTGAGAAATTATATGGAATAAAGTACTTAAGTGTATTTAGATATCCTTTATAGCTAAGCATTTTATTATGCATAACAAGTAAGGTTTTATGAATATGATTATTCCCTTGCTATAATAAACATTTTATTCAAACATATTTAACATTTACATTTTACTCAGTTCCTAACAAACCTCATACAAAAAGAACTTCTTTGAGAATTCCTGAAAAACATTAAAATTTAACTTTAGGTACGTTTTTCCATAGATATACTACCAAAAATAATACAGAAAATTACTGAGAAAGAAAAATAATTCAATGCTCTTATATAATCAGGAAGTCATTACTACCTTTTTGAAAACTTGCTTATTTAAAAAAATAAATCAAATTCTCTTACTTAATTAAAATGCTTCAATGTCCTTTTCTTACTAAATTATAAATTTTCATATATAAACAAGCATTCACTATTATCAGGACTTATTATACTGGCTTAACAGACAATACNGAGCCGGTATCACACTTTGATCTGGTTACTACCGTAATAATTATCTCCACATAATGTGGGTGTGGTCACTCTTAGCTTCATTTCTCCCCATAGACCTTACTGGCATGGGTGTCCCTACCAGGAGCTTGTGCTCCAGCCTGCATTGCTCTATGGTTCAGTAAAATTACTGGGCTCTCAAACCACGACCAGCTGGTGACCACGGGAGAGTTATTATTATTATTATTAATGCTTAAGTAAATATTTAGAGAATGAATGAAAAAAAAATTTTTTCTTTTGAAAACAGAATTATACCAAAGTAGCTGTGTTTATCTTACTAATATATGATTTAAAAAATGCAAAAATTTTTGAACAAAATTAATAAATTAGAATGTTTGTAATTCAGAATAAATGTTGCTGAAATAAGTAAACAAGGAGTTTTTTGCACATATCAGTGTCTTTTGCACAAAACACGGGAGACAACAATATGTTTGATCAAGTGCATATAAACATATATAATCCTTATTTCCAAAAATATGAATTTTTTTAAGTTCATATTTAGAAGACTTCACATTTCATGTAAATGAACATCATTCTCTCTTCTCCACAAATCCACATGACACATATTTGTAAAATGGTGTAGAAAAAAATTGTATGTTGAGGTTCAACCATTTTTACAACTTGGGCTGCTAAGACACAATCTTACATTACTTTCTTCTTAAAATATAACATAAAACAACTATAAATCTCCAGCAAATATATTTTAATTATGAATATTTATGACCACTTTGTGTTCATCTGAAAATGGCCATTCAAACAAACAGAGTAACCATTAAAATAACACAGTTCAAATTATAAAACATAAACTAAGAATAAAACATTAGCATAAATGAAATATAAAAACATCTATTGATAAATGTTACAGAATGTGTTCTTTTAATGATTACTCTATTTTGTATGTGATTTTATCTGAAGATGGCCATTCAAAGTGGTCAACATATTTGCTGGAGATTTAGGGTTGTTTTTTTGAGTTTAACAAATAAAATTCTATTTATTGATTCTGTTTTTTGAAAAAGTAAAATGTAAAGAATAAAGTCTACTATTAGTACCATTAAAATAAATTTATAATTCCAAGATGAATGTTAGTATTGTTTATTGCAAAGTGCAAGTGATCCTCTCTCAATGGAATTCTCTCATAAGTTGAACATAGAAATAATGGTTATAATTGGGTATAATACAAACACTAAATAAGCTTATACAGCAAATAATGAAATGCCATTCTAATTTTTTAGAAATAGAATCTAAAGTAAAAATAGGATTAAAATCTCTATTAACATTTTTTAAATTTTGCTCTCTATTGACATTTTTAAAATTTTTCGTATTTGTGTTCAATCCAGCTGATTTACCTGAAGAAGAACCCAGAAGGGGTTAAGAAAACGTTCATTTTGGAAGATTTTACTCTGTATGCACTGGTTATAGGTTCAAGTAGGTCATATTTTGTTAAATTTTGCTTTTTTTCTTTTAGATCTAGCCTGCCAAAACAGATATTTTCAAATTTTCTGCCAAAATATTAATACTAGAGTTGTCAACTTTCTAATATAATTCTGTATATATTTTATCCTTATGTCAACAAACTGAGGTAAGTAACAAATAAGCCTTAATGTAATAAATGCAAACAAAAGGCTTATTCACTTTTAAGATTTTCCAACATAAATTTTACTTTAATTGTATTAAAAAAAAACAAAAAAAAAAAAAAAACTAAATGTTATTCAAACAGAATAACTTACAAAAGTTACAAAAACTGCTTTAAATGTCCTCTGTCACCTTAAATACTTTTTCCAGCCATACTGTACTTTACTCAAAATAATTTTTTGTTCCTTATACATTAAAACCTATGTCAGGTTTTAATGTATAAAATTAGTAAGTTTAAACTGACAGTTCAAATTAATGTTCCTACAGCATTTTTTAAATTTAAAATATGATTTTGAATGCAAACAAATATTTATTTTAATTAGATATTGAACATAATATATATGCTATGCCTAAAATATTACAAAATTTGATGCAGAGATAAATACAGTGGATTCTGTTTAAATGAAACCTGATTAACTTGTCCTGATTAAGCAACTGTCCAAATATAGTGAATTTTAAGGTAACAGGCAAAATCTAAGATACAAAATGATCAATAAAGACAATATATTTATTGAAAATTATTATTAATATTTAGTATGAATACATATATGTAAATAGATTCAAGTTCAAGAACAACATTAAAATATAATCATTAAACAAAAAAAAAAATTATCTTTGCAGAAATTTAACTAGCATATGACACATTATTCTTTGCTAGTGTACAAAATTAGTGCAGACATCCAAAGCAGAAATAAAACTTCAATTCCATCTTGCATAAAATATCTTAGTTCAGATTTAAATTTTCTGGTTTCCTAATCAACAAGTCTTGATCAGAAGTATTATCTCCATCACTAGTCTCATCACTTTGGAAAACATCTAAAAATTTTTAGATGTTTTCCAAAGTAACTTATTAAACTTGTTATAATAATTGCATCTACACAATCCTCACTTTTCAATGTAACATGAAAAGTTGTCATCAATGTATAAAATTTTTTGCAATTTCTTTATTTTATAGTTCATAAGCAATTTCATTATTGTTATTGGCTATATCTGCCATTTCCTGTCCTGAAGTCTTAAAACTGCTATCAGAAAAGTAGTTTTGATTTGTGCTACAGTTTGCTTTTCAACTACCAGTGACCTGTTGTATTGCTTGTAAAATAGTAACCTTAGAACTATTTTTGTCTGCTTTTGTAGATAATATTAAAATATTTTCTTCAATTGTTTCAAGAATATCATACCAGACTTCTGCAATACAATATTTTTAAACTTTTTATGACTCCCATATCCAATGGTTGTATCAAGGATGTGGAAGAAACTCCAAATGAGTGTTTTTCAAACACACTACACAAGGATGTGCAGCAGAGAGCAAAGAGTAGCAAAACTGTTAGCAACTTTTCCTGTAGTTCTACATTCCAATTTATAAACACTTCAGAAGTTGGAAGTCATCCATGCATTACATACAAGTCTCCAAAAGTACACAAATTAAAACTACATATTATACACACAGTCTTCCAGGAAATATGTATTGGAATTAAATAAAAACAA